AAATATATATTATTTAATTGAGATTTTTATTATTTAAAAAAAATTTTATTAGAAACAATCGTTCTTAAACTACAAATGAGAGTCTCTGTTAATGTTTACATAAATCTGATGAGTTGCCCCTTGTTACCGAGAAAGATTTGATAGCTGATAAAGAAGATAGGATAAGGACAGGATACTATTGTCCATATTTTAGAGTATGTCAACGTTTGCTTTCAGCTCACGACGCAAATACTAATCTCAAAACATTATTAATCCTATCACGGTGGTTTATTCTGAATAATTTAAAATGGCTTACTTTAGAACGCTAAAACTTCTTTACTTTTTCAACATCATAGTTGTGAGCAAATTTAGCGGGAAAAAAATATTTTTTTGATGAATAGGGCGGGTCGGTTTAAAAAAAAATTCAGAAATGGTAAATAACTTTCTTATTAACCCATTAGTGACGAGAAGGTCAATTTTGACCGGGCTAGGTTTTTTTTAAGTGCCTTTTTTCTTAAACTAAATGTTGTGTTGTCTTTTTCTGCGCTTTCCTTAGGTTTTCCTGTTTTCAAAACATATTTTATATTTGACGTAACTTCAAAATTGGTTTTTTTTTTGAATTTCCATTTTAAAAAACCCAAAAAAACAAGATTTTGAATTCAGAAGAAACCCAAAAGAACACCCTTTAATTTAGTTTTGAATCTATAAAATTGTGAATTTTTTTGTTAGAACAAATTTAAAGATATTTTTGGAATCCTTTTTTAAAGAGCTAAATAACTAAAACGTAAAAGTAAAGTTTTGAAGATAATTAAATAATTATGAATTACCAAAGTTTTTTAGATTTTCATGTTTTACAGGTCACCCTGTACAAAAAAAAAATCAAAAATTTAATTGAATATCGTTTTTTCCTGAGTACAATCAAGTTTTGTTTTGACAAGATCCTTCTAAAACAACTTCACTAATAGTTAATGGTCTCGTCACTAATGGGTAAGCTACGGGGCTACGACTTAAATTTGAAAAGGCCTTGAAAAATAGATATAATAACATGTGTCATATGTTAATATTTGATAAAAGTAAAAATAATTATTTTTCAAACAACTTTTAGACAAACTTTCTGAAAATTTTTAAAATCCTCCCTTACACCCTAACCATTAAAGTTGGAGGTCTAATTTTTTTAATGAGCAGGCCTTGAAAACTTGGACCATTTATGTATTATCTCGTTCTTTGTAGCTGAATAAAAATATGAAGAAAAAAAATTATGAAATTGACCAAGAAAAATCCAAAAAATAAAATTTGTCCCTGAAATATAGTTTTAAGATTTTTCTCACACAACTTTTGCCCCAAACTGAATGAATGACCCCATATAAAAATGTTTAAAAAATCAGAAATGGTAAATAACTTTCTTATTAATTAAGCTACAGGGCTACGACTTAAATTTGTAAAGGCCTTGAGAAATAGATATAATAACATGTGTCATATGTTAATATTTGATAAAAGTAAAAATAATTATTTTTCAAAAAACTTTTTGACATACTTACTGAAAATTTTAAAAATCCTCCCTTACACCCTAACCATTAAAGTTGGAGGTGTAATTTTTTTTAATGAGCAGGCATTGAAAATTTGGACCAGGGACATGTATTACACTCCCCTATCTCAACTCTAAGGACAAAATCTATATTTAGAGCTTTTCTTTTATTATTTATCGGTGCTTGAAATTTATTTTGTCCTGTTAGCATAAGTTTAATGATGTTGATTAGGGGTTCAGTAATCAGTCAAGATGTATGAATTTCCCTTGCAGATTTTTCTCAAACTTTTCTGACTACTTTTTTTCATATTTTTTTACCGCTTTTTGCCCAATATTACCGACCGGTGGTTCCCCAAACAGAAGGAAGTTTTCGGGAATAAAGTCGCGCATTTTTTATCTTAAAATAAATTATTTTTTCGGGAATTTAATTTTAAACACTTTACTTAATCACGGTTTCTCTGCCAAATTTGCCTGCATAATATTCAGATCGCAGGAACCCTTGGTAAAGGGACTGAAAGCATATTTTTAAGCGACCCTCCATGTAAAGATGACAGTGCCCGATTCATAACGGTACCCTTTAAAGCTTTAACTTACCAAGGTTGAATAAGATGTAAGTGTTTTTAAATTCGATAAATTATTATCGTCTTAAAAAAATGCATCAAAATTTGGATTTTTATAATTACACTCACACATTCTTATTCAAATTGCTCCACCAGACTTAAATTTTCCCCTTTATTCAACATTTGTAACCCTTGTTGTTTTAGAATACCACCAAATATTTTTATTTTGCACCTAAAGTAGTTTTTTATCCCTAATTGTTTTATATATACAACCAACTGTAAACTTTACAGCCCTATCTAATTCATTTTGATAATGCTAAAAAAAAAAGAAGTTTTGCCCCCAACAAAAAGTAACCCTTAGTTAAAAAAAATGACCCTTTTGCCCCCAATATGTATTTAAAAAAGATTTAAGATTTCCTATACACAAAATTGACCAAAAAAAATCCAAAAAATAAAATTTGTCCCAGATATAAAGTTTAAGATTTTTCTCACACAAATTTGCCCCAAACTAAATGAACGGCCCCAAATATAAAAATTTTCCACAAAAATATCCTGAATTGGTAAGGTAATTTTTTCATGGTTAAGTATAATTCACATTTTCTTGCCCCCCCCCCTAGATATTTTTTTGGACGGGGGTTAAAAAAATGTTTCACGCTACGCGCGAAATAATTGCCCTTTGCCCCCCCCTTAGCTGAATTGTCTAGTTGCGCGCATGTGTCCGGACAGCGAGTTATTATTACTCTATGATTTGTCCGATGGTGTTCTGGGGATTCCATATTGGGGTCTACCTGCTCAAGACTGAGACCCTCTCTCGGATGTCGGTCTGGGGATCCCACACGATCTTTTTCATTTCATTTCACCTGCTACCACGCTCATTTCTTAAATTAAATTAACTCATTTATTCTCTAGGTGCAACTCAATAAAACCTCTCTCAACTGCAGATTTCGGGAAAGTGATGAAGCAAGTTTATCCTCAGGTAATATGTCTTTCTTAAAGGGCAGATGTTCTACCATTTTAATATTATGTACGAGGTCCGAATCACAACGGCACCCTCAAAAACTGTGTCTGACCAAGTATTAATTAAATATCTATGTTTCTCTCTTTGAAAACTGATTATTTTCCATTGTGGTCTATACAAAAGTGACTCACGCATTTCTACTACAGGAATACATAAAAGAATTATGATATTATCAGAAATAAATTCTTTAAACCTAGAAAAACGACAATATCTTCCACTTTATTTAGCAGATAAATGTTGCATGGGTACCATTGTGAATCGGACTCGTCCCTGTTTAGAGAGTCACTGAAATTACGCCAACATCCACTTTATGTGCAATTTTATAGTTAATTTCCTATTTTTTGTAAAAAATATTTTTTCATATTTTTCATATTTTACTGAAAAACATTTTGTAGATATGACATTTCAAGACAGGATTAGCTATTCATAATATTAAAGATTTATTAACCAGCGCATAGATCGGATATTTTATTTTAAAAAAGTTGCCTTGACATTGCATCGAATGTCTTCTGACATATCCGACGTACGCACTGAATCTTAAAGAGACTGAAGCATAATTTTATGTGACCTTTCGTTTATAGGGGGGGTTGTGGCATGTCCAATTTACAACGAAACCCTTTTAAACCTTTGTTTGATCAGGGATTTTGTAGATATTCTAATTTATATAGCGGGAAATGACAAGAAACCGTTCAAGTGTACACTAGTACGGAGAGTACAGTGTACACTGTAACCTCGAGTCTCCCAAAACTCGATCTTCAGCTATACAAATGAGGTTATCTATACCTCATCGTTGTCTAGACAAAGGGTTAAATAGTACCGTTGTGAATTGGACATGCCTTTCTATAAATGGAAGGTCTCTTGAAATTATGTTTACAGTCCCTTTAAAACTTTCATGGTCTGATATGATTCATTAAAACCCGAGCTGACTTGGGTAACTGGCAAGGATCTCAACCTTGGAGCACAACGTAACATAGCCTACAAGACATGAATGATAATAATAATAATAATAATAATAATAATAATGTTTCGACGATTTTTAAGGTACGACCACGTCGCCTGGGCACAAGGGGGAACTCTAGATATTGTTATGCTGGGCTCAGAAAACGAATAAAGGTAACTATTGTGTTAATAATGTTAACAAAAATGCGTACAGTTTACCAGGTGTAATTAGTGCACTGTAAAAATTGATAACTGATTGAGAAACACTTGATCAGATATTATAATTGTTTTCTGCGTTTTATTACCTCGCAACAGTTATTCGTCAAGGCTAAGATCAATTATACTCCGGATAAATCTAACGAATAATGAGAGAAAGATTAGGCTATCTAGTTTTTTCTATCTATCTGTTTCTTTTTATGAATTTTTAACATTAAAAATTGCTATATATTCCGAAATCGCTCATCGCCTGCAGCCAGCCTCAGTTTGCGTTTTAATAGTAAAAAAGGAAATATATATATAGATATATGTGCATATGTGCATATATATATATATATATTTATCGCGCTTTATGTTTTCAAGTATGATAACGTTAAGATTAAATATTCAAGGAAAAGCTAAAAAACATTTAAGAAGAAGTAAACAACAAAAAATGCACAAAAGTGCTTATCCCACTACTTTAATACAAAATCTTAATACTTGTTAAACTATCTTCTCTTACTAACCTAATTTAGCTAATTATATATAGTATATACACTAGGCTTTTAGTGCGCATTGCGCCCATCTTCTATTTCAAATGTGAAGATGTTCTCTTTGTATACATTGTAAAATTAGAACAAAATAATTTCGCGGATCTTATGAAAACAAATTCGTGGATTTGAAATTTGTTACAGGAAATATTTGAAAAATTGATCATCCATGAATTTTTTAGAAATCCGCGAAATTTTTAGTTTGTTTTTGTTTTACAATGTACACAAAGAGAAATAAAAGATGGGCGCGCAATAGTCTAGTATACATATATATATATATATATATATTAATTCTTTTTCTCTAGCTTGATGTGCCTGGTACCCCTGATATATCTAGCGAGGGAAGGAGTGGGGAGGGGAGGGATGTAGACGAAGAGATTTCGTCAGCTGCCTCTTTTCTTATCAGGTAAGACGAAAGAAAACAGACTTTTAAAAAAAACCGGGTTTTTTTTTATCCGGATTCATGTATACAAATTCTACCAATGGTGATCCGAATTCATGTTTGCCAATGGGGATCCGGATTCATGTTTACTAGTGGTGATCCGGATTCATGTTTACTAATGGTGATCCGGATTAATCTTAACCAATTCGGATCCAGATTAATTTTACAATGAGGATTTGGATTCATGTTAAACAAAGGGGACCCAAATTAGTGTTTAATAACTCAGATCCGGATTCTTATTTACCAATGGTAATCCGGATTCATGTTATTTTACGATGATCCGGGTCTATGTTTACGAATTGGGATTCGGATTCATGTTCATTGTTCACTAAAAAAGATCCGGATTCATGTTTACAAATGGGGATCCGTATTCATTTTTACCGATGGGGAACCGGATTTACGGTATACAATGGGGATCTGGGTCCATATTAACCATGGGAATCCGATTTCTCGTCAGAATGAACATGATCAAAAGAATTAAACAGTTTTGACATGTTTTGGTATAACTGTAACCTGATTCTCTTCCTATTCTAGAGAATGGGTTGAGAAGTTACTAAAAGTGAAAGTTGAGAATATGACCGAACTCGCCTTACACCTCCTGGACAAGATGTATGTAGACAACAGGTAGGATTCCCTTCTTGACAGAAGCCAAAAGGAGTTACGCGCATGCCGCATTGAATTACAAGACAGAGAGACAGACTGTTCTAGCCGCAGCACTCGGCCCCCTAGCTTGTCGCAGCGCTCGGCCCAGCAAGTGTCTTAACCTTACCTAACCCAAAAATATATACTAATCTCTCTATTTTTTGTAATTCAACGCGGCAAGCGTGCATATCTCCTGGAAAAAAACCTGTTTTTTTCCCAGACTTTGTTTATATTCATTAAAACCTTTATTTTAGATCAACTGCTGCCTGTACTCTGCTGTCAAGTGTACTACGACCAGTTGGACAACAACAACCTCAGATTCAACAGCTGCAGCAGCAGACACTTCAGCCACAGCAGCATCAACAACAGCAGCAGTTGCAACAGCAGGACAGCAAGCTAATTCTAACAACACTTAATCCACAGAATAATCTCAGGTTTCTTTTAAAACACAGAAAAGGCAGGGGTGTATATTTTCTTGAATACATCAATTTTCTTCACCCCAACCTCTCAAACGAATTTTGGGTGAAAAATATCGAAAAGAATGACAAAAGTTGCCTTTTTTTCAAATCATCAAAAATCATTCCTTCTATTTGAATTCTGAAAAAATACACCCCTGTAAAAAAAACCCCGACTTTGGTTGGTTGGTTGGTTGGTTGGTTGAATGATTGGTTGAATGATTGGTTGAATGATTGGTTGAATGATTGGTCGAATGATTGATTGATTGATTGATTTTTGTATTAGGTATTGTAGGGTACGGTGAAAGACCTGATGTGATAACTCCGAACTACAGCAGAATCAGTTTAAGTTCTAGACCTCCTTCCTCCATATCCTTAGATAAGGTGGGTCTGCAGTATACAGAGTGTCCCTAATAAACATGAGAACTGAGAGAAGACATCGAAATTGTCTTCAATTATATGTATGACAATTGTATGATTGTGTGACGCCTTTGCTTTCCCTTCATTGTACTTCCTAGAATTAAGCGCAGTACACATATGTTCATAATGAACTTAAGCTGGAGCGTTGATTTAAGATACCAGTAATAAGGTATATAGAAATAAACTATAATCAAAATTACCCATCCGGGGGGTAAATGATTTGGGGGGAGGAACTTTTTCTGTTCTTTCGATACTTTATACCCAAAATTTCTTTGATTTTCCCCCGAAAATCATTTATGTTGTCCAATTCAGCGAAGAACATCCTAGAATATCTTTTATATATATATATATCTTAGGGAGAAAAAATGATAAAGGGGGAAGAGAAATTATTTTCCCTGGAGTAATATGGTCTTCATTGTTAAAGAGTATGTTCTTAGTTGAGCGTTGTCAGATTTACGAATGAATGTCGTGTGAAGTGATGACGCCTTAAAAATCGTCACTTAATTTCCATGTTCATTATTTATACATAAATTAAAAAAGATACATCTAAATTTCGCAATCCTCCCGTAAACATTCAATTTCTTTTATTGGCATTCAACTCTTCATGGTCACTTGAAATTTTGTTCACAGACTCTTCAACAATGAGTTGTTTGTATCTAGTCTGACAATACTATTGTACCTAGTTGCCTCGGAAGAAGCAGGCGTTGGCCCAGGTCTGCATGGACGGGAACATGCTCATGCAGAACCTCAAGGTTGAGGATAAACCACAGGTACATAATTACGGTTAAGAAGAAACTACAGTACATGGTACACGGCACACGGTACACGGTATACTATGAAAAAGAAAAGGGTACACGGTACACATTACACTGTACTGTGGATGATAAGGTACACTGTACAAGGAACAAGGGTATGTTATGTAAACTACACTGTACAGTTTACAGTATACAAGGTAAACAGATACAGTGAAATATCAGGTATGCACAGAACAATATCAGGTATATACAGGACAATATCAGGTATGCACAGTACAATATCAGGTATGCACAGTAAAATATCTGATATGGTGCAGAATTTACTAATTGCTAACATGAAAACTGAAAGTTTAATGATTTAGGTTCCAGACAACTAGAATAAATTAATAGTTTTAACTCACGAATTCTTGACTTCAGTGAAAGCACACTTGATTAATTGATTGATTCGTTCATTCATTCATTTATGGAACGATTGATTGATTGATTGATTGGTTGGTTGGTTGGTTGGTTGATTGATTGATTGATTGATTGATTGATTGATTGATAGCTTGAATGATAGCTTGAATGATAGCTTGAATGATTGGATGATTGAATTGATCAAATGCAAATGAGTTTAGTTAATTGATTTGTTTTAAACATGAACATGGAGAATATGTTTGTTAAATTGATTTCTTTAAATGAAGAACAAGTGTTTGATAAATTTATTGTTTAGATAAAGTAAAAGTATTTGATTTATTTATTGTCTGTCTAGATAAAGTACAAAGGTTTGATTAATTGATTGTCTGTCTAGATGAGATAAAAGTGTTTGATTAATTGATTGTCTAGATAAAGAAAAGTGTTTGATTAATTGATTGTCTAAGGAAAGTACATGTGTTTGCTTAATTGATTGTCTAGATAAAGTACGAGTGTTTGATTGATTGATTGTCTAGATAAAGTACAAGTGTTTGATTAATTGATTGTCAAGATAAAGTACAAGTGTTTGATTAATTGATTGTCTAGATAAAGTACGAGTGTTTGATTGATTGATTGTCTAGATAAAGTACAAGTGTTTTATTTATTGATTATTTCAAGAAAGTACATGTGTTTGCTTAATTGATTGTCTAGATATAGTACAAGTGTTTGCTTAATTGATTGTCTAGATAAAGTACGAATGTTTGATTGATTGATTGTCTAGATAAAGTACAAGTGTTTGCTTAATTGATTGTCTAGATAAAGTGCAAGTGTTTGATTAATTAATTGTCTAGATAAGGTAC